AAGAGTTTAGGAGGAAAAATTCGTATTTCTTTGAAGATCGGCTTACTTAAACAGGTCTTGTTGAAAATTTCCCTTTTTAGCATACAACAAATTTTATTTATGCGCAAAAATGTAGAGAAAAAAATGGGTTCTTGAGAATGAAAAAAATTGATAAATTATAGACACGTCGTTTGACAGTAAATGACATGGATGCCTCGGTTTTGTGGTCAACAGTTCTAACAGTTTTTTCTCTTTGTTCAATTAACTACACTTTTGCTTCGCTGCTGGTGGCTCTTGGTTGAATTCTTTACATGAGTAGTCGCATTCTTTAAAGACATGAAAATAGCAGCAGAGAAACAATAAGAAAAATATTTGCATAATTTTTTTTTATTTCAAGTAATTATTTATTTGTTAAGAATTAATGAAAATATTTGCAGTTGTTGTTTATACCAGAATGAATACATTTCTAATAGTATTGTATTTATTTAACACATCGTGCATTCCCATATATACATATTTGTGTACAATATATATAAGTTGATTATCTTGTCATTTTATACATGACCTCAATACAAACAGGAAAGTGTGAAGAATGTCCAAATTTACTTTCTGCCTCGCAACATTGTTTTTCGTGGCATGCTTTTGTGTTGAGTCCACATGCAACAAAGCATCCAAGAAATTTTTGAAAAAATATGCAAAACTGCCCGCATGCATGCATACGTTTGGTGTAAATGCATTACGAGCGTTGCATTTTGCTTACAGGCGCTGCTATAACAAACCATGAAGTGTGGCACATTCATTAATATAGGCTTTTTTATGTATTTTTATGCGCAACAGTACAGCAATTTAATGCAATAAAATATTTTAAATTATTAATTTTATTAATATCATAAAAGCTTTTTAACCAGGATGAGAGAGAAAACTAGAATTTATAGCATAAAATATAAAGAAACTCCATTCCACCCTGCAGGCTTGAATAAAGTTTGTCAAAAATTGAGAAAACTAAACATTTTAACTTCTTAAAATTGTATATACGTTTATCTAAAGTCTTAAAAAAAAAATTATAATTATAATAATATATATATAACTTTGCGCACAATTTTTAATCCATAACGCAATGTGATATTTTCTCCTAGATGGAGCATAGAGTCTCTGTTATCAATTTAAATTGAACTTGCACTGCTTCCTCCTCAGTTTTTTTTAAGTAAATATTCCTTCAATTGTTTTTTATTGAAATGAGAATACTTCAATCAGAATACCTCCTTAGAAATCCTAGCTATTCGACTGGACACCAATTTTTCTTATCTATATAACTGGTTCGTTGTGAAACTAAAATTGATTCTTTTCTCTGCCTTCATTACGCTTCTTTTAGGGAATAGATCACAGTTTCTGTACAATGATGTCAGTATTTTTATGTTATTATATTTAATCTCTCAAAATAACAATAGTTTAGACAAAATAATAATTTTGTCCAATGATCCTATTCCCCTGTTGGCTTTGTTTACGTTTTAAATAAATTTTGCCATTACTCTCTGGAGATGTAAAAATAAATCAAAAATATAAATCTATCCCAAGATATAAATAATATCTACTTGCTTTCCTGTACAGGTAATATATTGAAAGCACTGAATTATATACGATATTTCTCTTTTCTTTATATCAGGGCTGTCCAGATCGGATGCGATGGCAGGCCAATACTGTACATATTGTAGGACCGCAGAAACAAATACATATGGTCATGGTTGTTTTCGACAAAAATAAAAATACGGTTCTAATGTTAAATTTAATGTTAAATAAAATAATGTAGAGTTTTACTAGTACTCCAAAAGAAAATTTGCGTAATTGTAGTAGATTATAAACATGTCATTAGACGCAGGTCGTACTTTGGACAGCCCTGCTTTATATAAATACTATATTATGTATAACATTTCTCTCTTCTATATCTATAAATTCTTCTAAAGTCCTGTACATTTTTTTTCAATTTGCAAGTTTTTTCGCTATCCATTACTTGTCTTATGGTATTAGGATTCTATTGGCGTAGTATATTTCTTCCCATATTTTTGCTATTACAATTTACTTAATTACTTTCTGTTAACTAAAATTTTAACTTAAACGTGTCTTTAATCTAAATGTTCTCTACTTAATCATCTAATTTAATTTCTTAAATTGGATCATAATCGTGTCTTTAATAGACATATTCTGCTCCTACATACCACGTTATATGTATCATTTTATAAACTATTTTCTTAATGTTGTTTATTACAACCAATATATGAAATAAATAATTTAGTTATTTTTTACTTAATAGACCAATTAACTGCAACAAGAAAAATTAATTAAACTCTTGGCAGTTATTTAATTACATTCATTACTTCAAAATTATGTTCGACATGCAACAAGTAGGAGTATCCGCGTTCGCTCAATAATAACTGAATTTTATGTTTCTCAACATTGTTGTGATGTTGTCTGTTGTTATGTTGCTATGTTGCTAGGCAATGTTGCCTTGCCATCGTAAACAAAATCAATGGCAACTTTAATAGCTGTAATAACTGCAATATCAATGACAATTTTGAAGCAACAATTACAGCATAAAGTCAAAACTAGTCAAGTCATTGCCACATGCTGTAAACCACTAAAGAAATTTTATTTTATTGTTGTTTTGATTGTTTTTATTGCTTTTACTGTTTTGCGCCAAATAATATTGGTTAAGAATTTTTACACTACTTTTTTTTATTTTGTATTACTGGTTACTGCTTATTTTTTGCGATTCACTTTATTTACTCGCATTATTTTAAGAGCTTAGTTGCTCTTACTAAATTCCAAAGGGGAAACTACAACTTAAGACTTTTTTCTTCTTACCATTTCATTTTTATTGTTTTTTTTTTATTTCTTATGAATTTTGTGGCAAACTTGATTTTCTAACAGTTCTTTTCGAATTCTGCGTTAACGTTTATGTATTGCAATTGCTGCAACGCATATATGCGGCATGGAGTAACCAATATGCAGCATCAAATGTGAGCAACAGTTGAATATGAAGAACTTGTTACCGCATGTTCTGGCTAATATAGCTCAGTGGCCGATAAGGATTGTGCCACATACGCTGCACAGTTCTTATGGACAGTGATGCTAAGCATGACTAAGTACACATATGAATTTCATAGCACGCAGGCCTCCTTATCTACAGCGTGCATGCATGCAGCAATGGCAATTCAACTTGTTTCTGTTGCTGGAAGCTTTTCGGTTTTCTCATCGAAAACCCAGTTTAGATAGATATTCGCGGTTTGTGTATTGTCAGTAGGTCGTTGTGTTGTTGCAAATGCTTTTTAAATCAATGCAATTGCTTACATATGCCGCAAATTTACGAAAAGTGTACGTACTTTATTAAAATGTGTTGCTAAAATACATAAAAGTGGTTCAGCCAATATTGCCTTGGGAACCAGGCAGCTGTATAAGTTCGACATTTTCATAAAAACAAATTGAAATCAAAAAATAGTATTTTTTGGTAAAATTTATGCTGCTTGCTTTGGTAGGTGAGACTTCATAGTGTGCACAGCACGCTCTTTGTGGGGTCAAATGCTGCACACAGCAAGCGAAAATCGGAAATTATAATAGATTTGTTGCTGATTTAGTTAGATTACAAGCGAAGAATGCTTAAAAACTTAATAAAAAATGTGCAATCAAATTGAGAACATTCAAAATTCATAGAAATTTTAACATATGCGGACATACGTGATTGCAGCCGCGTAACAGCAGCAGGCGTTTAACAACACACACTGACCTTATGCCCACAATTCGTTTTACTTTCTTAACTGTTGGAGTTGTGTTTACGTTACTGGCAACCACCTATGCCAGGCATGCCACAAATGCTGCATTTAAAACTTCAATTTATTTGCTGAAAATGCCAGCATTATTGGCTGTTAACTGTTCTAGTTAAAGATCGGGTTTGCGCAGTTGATAAACATTACTTCTCTACAACTTTGCGGATTTCTACAAGTTGCAGGATGTCGGTGATGAAAATTAAATTATTTTTAAACTAAAACCATTTAAAATGTTGTCACTAAATTATTATTTTGCATATGACAGAGTGAGAGAAAGTTGATCCAAATGAAAACTTGTGCGAATTTTACGTGGAGAATTGTGAAAACTTTACTATGCTTTAAAAAATTTCTAATATTAATAAATTTTAGTTATATTTACAAAAGTGGCAATAATCTATAAACAGATTAACAACAGCACATGATTCAATTTAAAGCAAATTGGCAATTCATTATAAATTATTATCCAACATCTTACGATAACCACATAAAATTTTGTTTTATTTTGGACAGCTGACTTTTAATTCATCATTCACAGATGTGTATTCAAAGTTTACTGATCACGTTTCGTTAATAAAGTAGAACGTGTTATGCCTCTTAAGCAACTCATTATTTCCTATTACTTACTGCCATCGCACAAACCGTTTCAGTCGATCTTATCTATGGTTTGGCCTAACCTAATCGCTTAATTAAAAACGTAATGTGACAAGCAGCGTGTAATGTCACTGAGTTAAACATCTTACGGTATTTGCTTTGGTTTCATCCGATGATCCGATAACGTTATTCATTATCAATAGACTAATGATGTAAAATGTCCTGCATACCAGCAGCAATGCCAAATCAATTAAGAACATTAAATGAAGCTGACTTTGATTTTGTCTATCTTCAAATATTGTTGCAATTTTTTCTTTAATAAGATTATCCGGTTAAATCTTTTAATGATAGTATTAACCCACTGACCTTTATTAGCCTCAAAAATATTGTTTTATCTAATGTTTTTCTTGCAGTTTTGTACAAATTGTTAGCACTTTTGTGTGTCTCGATTTTTATTTTAATGACCACAACAATTTTGGCATCAAAATGAAAAACAAAATGAAAAACAAAAAAGCCATAAAATGACAGTTTTGCTGCTTCAGATAGACACATATACCTCAGATATATCATCAGCAACTTAAACCACATTAATTACAATCAAATTAAAATTACCTTTAATAAACGTAGTTGTCGCAATCAGTCGCTAATGCTCTTTTTCTTTACGTTTTGGTGCTACGATCAAGATAAGAGAAAGTGTGTTGATATTTGTATCTGAAAAGACATTAAAGAGTACGATATAAAATTTAATTTATATGCATTATTTTTTACTAGATTTTTAAGTATAGTTTTTCAGTAACCGTCTGCAATTAGAAATGAGTAATTACTCAAAAAAATTAAAAAAAATAAAAAAATAAAATAAATTCTTTATTTTGACAAAAATTAGGTCAATAATTTAACGTTTTACTTCATAAAATGTTTTAAATTAAAATCTACATAAGATATTTTACATTGATTAACAAAAAATACTAAATACAGTAATCAATACTTTATTTACTTAAAGAGTAATACAAGAGTCAAGTAAATTCACTGTATATATATTGCTTATTGATCACAGAAATAAAAGTCAAACAATCATATGAGTACATTTCTACTTTTATGTTATATCCCAGAAACTTTTTCAAAATCATCTCTTGATAGTGTACCCTGATACCCTGATTGTTAATCCCATGCTCATAATTCTATCATGGCTTAAAGAATATTATATGTTACTATACATTATCATACTTCATTGTGCCGACACATGTTGTGACATCATTCTGGGTAACCCTTATCTTATTGATACTAATCACAAATAAATACATATTTTAGAAAATATTCAATTTAATTACAATAAGATACAATATATCAATTGTATATATGTACAATTGTATATATATACAATAGATATATATCAATTGATATATGCACCTAATGAATGTGTAAATAAACGTTTACTTATTTTTACTTTAAATTAGATTAGTATTTAAATTAAATATTGGAAAAAACAAAGTTGAATCGGTTGCATTGTTCAATATAGCATAGTCAGTCTATTTTGCTTTATGAGAATATACAAAGCTAAATATGGTCAGATATTAATCAGATTTCGTTTTAGTTATAATCTGTGGAAATCAATATATATTTTACAAACGACAGATTCTTCTTACGGAATTCAGACTTGCATGGTTCAAAAATATATTTATTTTATTTAAAATTTTGTTATTGTTTTCTATACAGCACATAACAAAAAATATAAATAATACACACAATGTGGTATATTATCACTACCTATACTGTACTATGGTGGTGCAAAACTTTCACTTTTCATCTTTCGATAATTAGTCTGTTAACAAAAACAGTCAAGGGATTATTGCAAGTTTTTTTTAAAGTTCAATATTTTCAGCAACATTTAACATTGAAAATATTTACAAAAAACATTATAACATTATTTGTTTATATATCTATTTTTTAGTGCTGTTAATCAGCACATTTTGTGTATATTATTTTATTTTTTCTATATTTTGTTTGTTAATTATATGTAGTGATGTTAGTTGGTATTGTATAAATGTGTACACGCATATTGAAGCAAAATTGAGCACTGACTGTAGGCAAAACTGGAGTTGAGAAGTTAGAATTGATAAAATTATAATAAAAATTAACTTATTATTAAGAGTGTTTTTTTCGATTTTTACTGACCTATTTTGTCAGAATGATATGTTTAATGTCCGACTTAATTTGATAAATTTTTCTTTTATTATCTTTGAGTCACATGATTTAGTAATCCTCTGGTTTTTAGAGCTACGACAAACAAGCCCTTAACTTGTCCTAAAGGCTACAACATTTGTACGATGTCTGAATAATTTTTTAATATTAATACACATACTTCCCAATCTAATATCCAATACCAAATATATTGGTTTTAATATATTCCAAAATTTTTGTGAGTTCTGACAACTAAGAACTATCTAATTTGTACTTTGCTTTGTATTGAGAAGGATATGAACAGCTTTTTGTGCACTGTTACCTCTTATTATCAAATAAAACAATTAATCTAAATCCAATTTATTATGAATCAATTTCATTAACATGGAATTAACAAATCGAAAGAAACTAATTTCCACTTTGTAATTAATTCGATTTGAAAGAACACATCTTTTTAGTGGATAGTAGGTTAATTGCATTACATTGGAATTGGAATTGTTTGCTTGATACTCTATGAAAATACGAACGTCAGTCGCTCCATTAAAATGTTAAAATGTTAATTTGTATTGAAGAGATTTTTAGTGACAATTGCAGAGACATTTTAATTGAACTGAAAAAACCAGACTATTAAAAAAATGCTGTCAACTAATTGAAGTTAACGAAAAATGGTTAAATTGAAAAAAATATGTTCTCAACTTTAACTCATTTAATAAGAAAAGAAAGTTGGTCCAAGTATTTCCAGAGCCGAACTGCTACAGAACACTTAAAGAAATTGACATATTTATGCGCACAACTTGAGAAAACTGTAAACTGGGTTAAAAGGATGAGCCGCTGTTGTTGTTACTGTTGTTGCTTGTGGCACTGTTGCTGCTGTTGTTGCTGCCGCATTTGTGGTACTTACAGTATTGTATTGTTGTATTGTCAAGTATTTATCTGTAAGTTTTCTGTGTAGCATATGTTTTCAATGTTCATTTATTTATTTTGTTTTTGTTTTTGTTGTTGTTTTTCAAGTTAGATAAAAAAATAAAAATGCTAATATTTGCCACGCGAAAAACACATTTTAAGCAACTGCTATGCCAACAGCAACAATGTATCTATTGCTGCAGCTGATATGGTTGCACTACCGCCGGTGCTTTGTTTGTTATTTCGGCATATATTTACAATTTTCATTTGTATCTATTTATTTAATTTTCTTTATACTAAAACTTTATCTGTACTAAATGCTAATGTTGCATGTGTCATGCAGCAAACAATGTCTTGCAGCATTGATTTTCTAAGCAGCGCAGCTGATTAAAAAATAAATAAAATTAATATAAATAAAAAAAATTATGAAAAAGAAAGTTTTTTGTTGTGTATTGTGCATTTTATAAATAATAAAACCGTAAAATTATAAGAATTAATTTCGATCGTCTGGCAAATGATCACACAAAAAAATGGCAAGTTTCTGAATTCACGTTGTCTCAACTTTATTCTACCACAAAATCTAAATTCATAATGTAAATTTTTTATTTATTGACTTTTATTTATTGATGTGAAAAAGTTCATTGAACGTAAAGCGTTGAAAGTATCTCGAACTGCCAATATCCTTTTTCTTTTTATACGATAATTGTTACCAAGTTCGAATTTAAATTATTTTGATATGCAATGAGTTAGGTCCGTCAATTTTTTTTCTCTTTAAATTATACAAAAACAAACTTGCAAAGAGGTGAAGATATAAAATAAATAAAAGAATTGGTAACGTTTTTGTCATAAAAACTAATTAACATAGAAATGTTAGCATGTAAATCAGTAACAAAAGTAGAAACATAAACATCAACAACAATAGCAACAACAATAACAACGTGAAAGGTTTTCTAACTGTTATTTTGCAAAGAATTTAGAATGAATTCTTTAAAATTTCGTCAAAACTAAATTTGAATGACTATTAGTCATTTTTAGTTAAATTTTAAAAAATTATTCATTTATAAAAAATTCTATAAATATTTGAAAACTTAGTTAAATTTAATAATCGTACAACTCTTACATTTAACAACTATTTCTTTTATATATGAACACTGCAGTGTTTATTCTAATAATTGCCTTAAGATTCGTGATCCAGTTATTGTTACTCCTCAAAATAAATTAATAATAAGAGCAAATTGACTATTATTTTTAAATAATTTTTCAGTAAAAGTCAAAGTGCAATTTAATTTTAATTAATTTTTAATATATCTTAACCTACATTACACTTTCTTGTTGAGGCTCAAAAATGGTTTAATACATTAATTTCTATGGAACTGTTGTCAGTTTATAAAAAGTAGTTTGTTTTTCTTTATACTAAGCCTATGCTGGTGCTGATTAAAATATTCCCCTATGTATGCCTATGAACTAATGAGCCTGGCAGACATCTCAAATATAGTTAATATAAAAGTAATCTTCTTTATCAACTGTTGATTGATATTTTAAATATTAGCAAAGAAGTGGAAGATTTGTCACTAATAAAATCAACAAATCAGCGACGATAGACCTATTTCTTTATAAAGTACACCCTGCAGAAAATGGTGATAACTATAGACTGCCTCCTTGTCAGCATAAACAAATTGAAAAAGTCTTGCTTGTAAAAAACCATTTAGTTAACAGTTAAGTATATAAACTTATTGAATTGAAATACTTTAGTAATTAAAATAAATAAAATAAATGTATCTTTATTTACATTATATTTTCTAGTTGGAACTCTATATGGAACACTAATATTTGATGTTTTAACCCATAGTGTGTAGTCGGTTATTATTGCGAAAAGTAAATTTATTATTTTTAGAATCAAGTATATCAACTACTTTTTATCGCCGTCTTAAATACATGATCTGTTATTGTTGCCTTATATCAAAAAGGTTTCCTCATTATTTTGTTATTTTATATTCGTATTTTAGCAATGATGGAATGAAAATAGTTTTTAATTGTTCTTGACAAAATTCAAAATAGCAAAATCTATAAAATATTGAATCTGTTCCTATTAATACTAATATATATAAATCATAGATGGAGAAATTATGATGCAGTAAATCAGTAAAGATGTCTTCTTAGGACAACCATTAGGAAATTTCATAACGAATTACTATTTAACATGAGAATATTATATCGGTATAAATTAATTTATATGAAAGTTATACTACTTATTGAATTTATAACTTAAGTTAAAATGTTGATTATAATATAAAAAGTAGGGTATTGGCACAAAAGTTCAAATTAAAATTGAATATAGCTTGGGTAATAATTTAATAAATAAAAAAATTGGTCATATTGGTCATAAAATTGTAAGTGGTCATATTCTAACTCAAAATAAAATGAAATCATATATTTTAATAATTTTATTATATGAAACGTTATATTTTATGATTATTTACGACTAATTTTATATTTTTCGAAAAGTTTTCAACACATGCTTACTTCTTACTTCTTGTTTTTATTTTTTATTATTATTTATTTTTATGTTATTTATGATGTTCGTATTAAAAATTTAAATATTTTATATATACGTGTTTCTATTAATTTGA